TAATATTTAATTAGTCATTGTAAACTGTTATACAGTCTTTAATTCATTTTAAATTTTAATTTATTTCGATTTCAAGGAAAATTAATAATCACTCATACGCAGTGGTGTACGAAAAGAAAAAACAATAATTTTAAAATCATATTTATTTTATTTATTATAAGTAAAATATATTGAAACGCATTATTTCGCTTACTGTATGAGAATATTTAATTAATTTATATTTTATTTAATTTATTTTGAATACACATTGACAAGCTATCTCGCTTGAAAAGACATGAACTTTATTACAATACTGTAGAATTTACTTTTTCATTGTGACTGTTTTTTACTCTTAAAAATTATAAAAAAAATTTTAGTTTATATTTTACATATTTTAATGTGTTAATTTTAATACTGTTATATGCAAAGATATTATGACAAATTGTTGATGTCATCTGTTGACATAAAATCGACCAAAAACATCATTTATATACTAAAATGGCATTTGTTTGCAACTGAATACATTTATTTTACCTTATAAATATACACTGGAATGTCAACTAAATAAATGTCAATCTAATATAAAAATTAACAGCAGATATTGCATATCATTCCATTATTTTTTTGGAAACTGAGATAAGTGGTCAACAAAAGTAGCTGAAGTAGTCAATAAAACTATCTTTAGCTTATCCTAAGTATAAAACGTGCTCGGTGTCGAATTTCAATGAAAATATTTTAAGCACAAATGCAGTATTAAACGATGTCCTTAGAAGGACCCAATGCACAAAAGACATTCAAATATTTCACAGGTACTTAAAAGGTGAACACTGAGATTTAAGTGAAAATGATATGAATTACATTTTAAAATATGAAATCAACGGATTGGATAATGAATAAAAAAATATTTATTGTGTTTTAATAACAATTTTGAAAGCAACTAAAAAATTTAAATTATAATAACTTTTGAATATAAAAAAGGAATCAATTATTATGGTTGTATCTGTTGATTGGATAATTTGAAATGGTCTCAATAAGTAACTTTACTATTCAGTGTGTGTGAAAAGTTTAGTCTCTCTACGATATAGTAAGATTTTGTGCTCGTATTTTTCAGTGTAGATATCATATCTTTTACCTGTCTTAAGGTTAGTCAGCATCCTGTGTATGAAGCGAATTGTATTTTAATGCAAAATTCTTCATCTAAGGGATAAATGATCTGGATTTATGGTATGTTCTTATAGTATTAAGATCTCTGTATATATCAAACATTTTGATATACCATAAAGCATTTAGAACTTATATCAACATATATATAAAAAAGATTTAAATTTTAAAAATAAATTTAAATATTTGTTAACTTAGGGCTTGTTTTTAATATCAACTATTGAATGCCAAGAAATAATGTAATCAAAATGTAAAAAAGAAAAAGTAGGAGAGATATAGTACAAAATGTATTTAAAACTAATATCAATGAGAAATCGGTGCATAATCTGATTAATTTCGATTTGTATTTTTTATTATTGTAAATAAAAACTTAAAAATATATAAAATTTTGAATATATGTATATATAACTTTACTTGCCTGATGATCTATCTTCAAATATTTCTCCTATATTTCTATTTATATATTTCTCTTTCACAAATAAGTTTTCACCTTAGAAGATTTATTTCCTCTTGTGACAAAATGCATCTCGCTTGTTTAAGTCGTTGACTAATATTCTCAAGAATTTTTTTTATTGGAAATATGACTGCTTTGACTGAAATCCTTTCTGAAATCAATCGCATGTCATTGCGCCTATCGCTACTCTTATTGACATGGTAATTACTGTGTATTGACAGTTAGGATTTCAGTATGAAAGGATTCTAAAAATCAAAAAAATGAGCTTTTGATAATTGCTATACTTCATCATAGATTTTTGTTTGAGCAAATATAGCATATATTTTTGCTCCTTTGCTGCACTTAATTAAATTGTCATTTCACTTCTATAAACGGGGATTATAGTATCAAAGCAATTGTTTTGTGATATGTTGACAAATATTAAATAAATTTAACAATTTTTGAACATGTTTTAGATACAATTAGTTTAATGCTTTTGAGTACAATTGGCTTAATTAATTCATTTAAATTAAACTCATAAATGCCTATAAGTAAATGAAACTATTTAATACTTTTTGATGGTTACAGTGAGGGCAGTTTTTTTATTGTAGCAGTATATTGATTATAAGGACAAATCACTTCTCACCAACAAGATAAGGCAATGTTAAAGAATAATGTTGTTATGCAGATATTCATATGTTATACGTACTAATAGAACGTTTACTCTATCGCAAATAGGATTGTATTGAACGTACATAACGTTAAATAGCCGACTTAAGAAACGAAGATTTGCTAACAATAAGATAAATTCGCACTTAGATAATCATTGATGGATAATAGTTGAAATTCTATACAAGAATACATCTGTTAACAATATGGCCTCAAAAATATTCCAATTCTGTTTTTCTTATTATTTCATTCAATATTATCAATATTGATCAATATCAACATAAATTTATCAATATTTATTGAAATATTGATTGAAATTATTATGTTATTAAAGTATTCCTAATGAACACTAATTTTGGCTTTTTATTTAATTATATTGGCGTTGCTATTGTAAATTAATTAACAAAGCAATTTCAATAGAAGACTAAAATGGGTCATTTTCGCAAATATTTTCGTCCAACCAAAATGAGGACACTCAATATGTATGCGTTCTAATTTCCTTTGATGGATGGCTTAGGAATATTTGGCATGGTTCATAATGAAGTGGTAATTAGAAATGACAAAGTTAATTTAACCTAATTACAATGCTGAACACAAAGATAGTTTAAGTTGTTAAGTTTATGCGGCTTTAATAAATGCGGTTTTGTGATAAATAAAATGAAAATAATATATAGTTACTATTTCTAAAAGTCAGTTTAAGCTTAAGCTATATATATAGCTTAAGCTTAACTCATTTATATTCATTTTAAATTTTAATTTATAATGTGTATAATATATCTGGTAGTAAAGTTTTTTTGATAATACTATGTATGTATTAAAATATATTGTATACATAAATGCATATATATTCAGACTGTTTATATTAAGACTGCTTAATGCACAGATCGCGAGAGCTTGCAGTGAAATCTCTTGCACAAAATCTCTTGCAATTGTTTGCAATTTTGCTGTATCAAAACCGCCCCCTGCGGGTAAGTGGATAGAATATTCGTGAGGTAGGCATGCCGGTCGTAAGTAGCGACTAAAATCCCGGCGCTATGCCGACCGTTGTGCATGGTAGTAAGTGTTCAGCCGCACTTGCG